TTCATAAGAGTCGTTAATATAATCGTAAGAATATCACTTATAATTATATATAATTTGACTATTTTTATGTTGTGTTATATTATTGGGTCAACACTCAGCCCAAAAACCACATTAACTATTGATAAATGTTGGATCTTCCAACATACAATTGTCAATAACTCTCTAGTACCAACAATTTCATACGTTATGTCGCCATCCGATCCTAACAGTTTCAGAAGTTTTGTTACTGTCTGAATACTAGGAGTCCAAAATCTCATCAATCCCTATCATGCATATTTGTAAGTATACATGTAATAACCTACCTATACTATCAATTATGATATTTTTTTAAAATCATAATTACTGCACCAAATATTCATTATAAGCATTTCATATATCATATGCATAAATCATAACAAATGAATATTTGCAAGTAATGATTTCATAAAGATTATTGTCAGATTCACAATATAGTAATATTATACGTATCGTAAGTGACAACAAGTTCACATCCATACAATTTATGTAGATATTCATCCATAATATGCAGGACATTCGATATGCAATTTTGTTAAACACATAATCACATGAACCAACAAAGAGTTATTTTTCTAAAGTTTGCACATGATTGTTTCACCTAAAACGACGAAACAATCTTACGAGTTTCGCCAAGCTCACCGCCCAGTGTAAACAACGTGAAATTTGTAAACCTCATAGGAACTCATGAAATCTTGACTTATCTTATGATTTAACCCCAACCATAACTTATTTATCTTTGTTGCGCAAACACTTCTAAATAAGGAGCCATGCAGTGTCAGACACGTATTGGACACGGACACGGTTCCGAGACAACCAAGAAGCGTATCAGACACGTTACAGAAGTGTTCAGGTTAATTGATACTAAAAAAAAAGAGAAATTTGTGTTGGACAAGAGTGTCCAAAATTCAGACACGCGTGTCCTAAAGTAATGAATAAAAAAATTCTAAAAAAGATTTTTAAGATTAAAATTATAAAAAAAGTAAAATTTAGGAATGTTTTGCCTACATACCACTCAATTGTTATGTATTTATGTATCTAGCACAAAAGTTATAATTTTTTCATATATGCCCTCTTACATATGTATAAAAATTAAAAAGAAATATTTAGTTTGATTTGATTTATATATTTAGATGTGATATAAAATATTCGGGTGACATAAATATAAAAATCAAAATTTAGGTGTAAGATACGTGAATGCAAAAGAATTCGGTGGTGTGTATGTAAAAACCCCAAAATTTACTATAAATATCATTCAATCTCATGGGAATACAAGATGCATTATTAGTTTATTACTTATTTCTTATTACATTTTATGCTTTAGCTTTCAATATGTGAGATATTGCTGGAGATGAATTTGAGACCCTCAATGATACAAGAGTTTTGGAGATTACAAACCTTTCTCTTGATAAGTCATAGTTAGAATCTATGATATTTAATGATGATGATAATGAATGTGAACTGTGAAGTAGAAGTACATGCAAAAGAACCCAATCAACTTTTTATTTCTTTTAATGAATTAACGAAGTTAAATTTTGATATAATACTAGATAATATATGTTATGATGCTTACATTTTGTATCTCATAAGCTAAAGATATATCTATAGTCATCTTAGTTTTTGAAAGTTGATTTTATTAACTCTGCTTTTTTATTAATTTAATATACCTGTATATTTTTAATAATTTTTATTATAACTACGTGTTTGACACGTGCCTGTATTCTAAATTTTCAATAATAGGTGAGCCCCGTGTCGTGTTAGTGTTGTGTCTTATTCGTGTTCCCATGTCTATGTCCATGCAATATAGTTATTTACCTCAAACGGACTTCCCTGCATAACCAACAGTTCTCCGAGACTTTCTATACTTCTTCCTTCATCCTTCTTCCTTATAGCACCTTAATCCTCCATTTACGTCGCTGATTTCTTGCTAACGGCCCAATTCGAGAGTCAAAAATCAAGTTTATTGTCTCCAACACCAACTCGTCTCCCACTACATCTACTGTAAACAAAAAAGTGCACCGATTCATAACAAACGTCAAAACAAAAGTGTAAGGAAAATAATGTCGCAAATATTGTAAAAGAGGGGTTCCTACCTTTTGATCTCTCTCCGGAATACTGGATTGCCGCCTGCAACTCCCTGCAGGTCGTGCGGGGCCATCTGCTAGAGTGGCCCAATCATGGAAGCTTCAGGCACGCGGGAACCTTCGTGAGAGGGAGTGGGGACGCGACATTTAATGTGATCTCCACTTTATCTCAAATATTCGAATCATCCTACTACTGAGAATCACGTATGAAGGTCGGTAGCTAAAGTGACGGTGCAGGAGGTTAGGATTAATTAAATTTAATTAAACTGTTACGTCATAATTTTATATATTCTCATATATTTAAAATCCTTGTTTGGTGCTACATATCAAATTGATGAATTCAACGTATAGAATTTTATAAAATTGCTTCGATTGAATTTCATGAGATGTGAAATTGGAGGTACATTTTAAAGTCGCCAAAATTTTATGTGGTTTCTCAAATGTTGGGTATTACAGCTCATCTGTCTGGATTGATCTAACTAATGTTAAAGTGCTTGAATTGTGATTAAGAATTCTATTGTAATCGGGAAATTCATGTTACGACAAAACGACTGATAACTGGACTGTTTGAAAGAAAACAAACCAAGCCTATTTGTAGTGTATCCAGTTGGTTTTAAACCTCGATTGTATGAGAAATCACAACCCATCTACCTAAATTGGCATCACTAGTGATATCCTTTTCTTAAAGCGCAACCAAATGTGCATTAATTGGGATTAAGGCAGCTATGAGTATTTGATGGTGAAATGGTAAGGTTTGATCGGTGAATCAAGAGCAATGCTAATTTTACTTAAGTGGAAAAATGCTATAGTTATGCTTAATGCCACTATTATATCCTATTCATGCTTCAGGTGAACTTAATTTCAGGATCATCTTCTTCGCAAAGGGGAAGCATCATTTTTCTTCATGGGGCTCCAACTCAGTCATACAGTTATCGAGAAGTAATGTCTCAGGTTAGCCTGTGAAATGTATATTGATTATGATTTTAGCATGCATATTTTTCGGAAACTGCAAGCATTTTAATTTTTAATGAAATAAAACAAATATTTTGTTATTTTACTTTGTTTCAGAAGAAGTAACCTTGAACAGACATCATCATTTTTTTTTGCAGGTGATCATCATCGTCTTCATTATTAACATTATCCAAACTATTTTGCATTGATAGCAGATTGATGCTTAGAATAATTTGATGTTGTAGATTATTATTTTAGTTACTTGTGCTTGTTCCAGTGTTCATTGGTATGGCTTGATGGAAGATTTTCATTTACCTGGTTTGGAAATTTTTAGAATCACATTACCAAGAGAGGACTCAGAAGTTCTTCTCAGCAAGTACACGATTTTGCATGAAAATTGCTTTACAAAACACAATTTTGACGGGACAAAATTTGCAATCTCATTTCAAAAGTGATCCTTAAAAGCTTGAAGGACCTTTGCTTCTAAAGGGTTTGGCACTACCCCCGTTAAATGTACATACAGTGAGCTTTTATTATCTGTATGAGAAGTTATGGACATCGGCTGGCCAAAACTCATGAATCTATGTAGCTCTGTATTTATTTAGACCTCCTATTCAGATCAAATGCAAGGTTTTATTTCCTAAGAAAAAGATATAATTTAGAAAGAAAATTTCAGAATACACTATTGAAGTGTTCTGACTCCAAATTCCCCCCACGTCTGTCTTGTAGTCTGCTCTTAAGATGTCATTATCAATAATTTGTAGCCTTGTCATAGATTATAGAGATCCGAATGTTCCATGACTATTTCGTTGGGCAATTAGGGAAGAAGAGTTCTATTTACATATGCCAAGGTGTTTGAGAGTTGGGATTTACTCCTCATCGGTAATACCGGTGTCTCTTTGATTCATTTTACAAACAGCAAACTTAATTTGAGGCTTTAATCTGTTTGGTAAATAATCATGTCATTGATTAGATGTCAGAAGCTGGTTTTCGCTGCTTTGCTCCTGATTGGATTGGATTTGGTTTTAGTGACAAACCTCAACCAGGATATGGGTTTTCGTACACAGGTATGCAATATTCAGTGACTATTATTTTCATCCTGATAAGAAACTAAATTTTCATTACCTGATGCAGAGGAAGAGTTTCACAAAGAATTTGACAAGCTTCTTGATAAGCTAAATATCAACTCACCTTTCTTCTTAGTGATTCAGGTTTTTTAGGACTTTGGTTTAGATTTTATTGAATTAGTTAATGATGTTTTTTATAATTGGAAAGATTAATCATATATTTTAATAATTTAACTATTTATTCATACGAAGATTGAAAATTGTAATTGTTTGTTGAAATTCTACCGTTGGTGGGCAATTAGATTTATATACACTTCTGTAGGGATTCCTTGTTGGATCATACGGATTGACTTGGGCTCTAAGGAACTCTGATAAAGTCTCCAAGATTGCAGTTCTCAACAGTCCGTTGAGTGCTAGATCCTCTTTACCTGGCTTGTTTCAAAAACTAAGGTAGGCAATTTGTCTTTAATGGCAGTTATTGTATTGAGTTAATATTCTAATATTTCAACCACCCTCTTCATAATTTCTTGACTTCGTGCTGTTAAGTTAAAATAGCTTTTCTAAAACAGTAACTGTATAGACATAGTCCACTAAAGTTTGCTTTACATCAATCAGGATCTACATTGTTTCATTCTAACATCTAGTGCAGGGTTATACAATATTGTTAATCACACTGATTGAATCCCCTACTTTCCAGTATTATGAATTAAGTGGTTGCACATATTATGCTTTCAAAAATGCAACAGTCTGATGTTCTGTGTAATTGTTCTTTTCTTTTCTGTTCAGAATCCCTCTTATTGGAGAGTTTACATGTCAAAATGCTATAATGGCTGAGCGTTTTATCGAATCAGGTAGCCCGTATGTATCTCCATCATAGTTTGTATAATTTTTTTAGCTTTTGTATCCTTTAACACTCCTCGTTGTAATTGCTCTTAAATATGCAAATTGATCACCATTGTTGTTTAGAGTTAGAATTTTTTGATGAAACTAGAATAATATGTGATATATATGTAGATCACAAAAAAGAAAATCTGTTTACAAGTTAAAGGAAAAGTTAAAGGAAATTAAATGTATTAAATGTAAAAAAAAAAAAAAACTTGCTCTCCTTTGATGTAAACAAAAAATTATGTCAATTAAAGCCCAAGCACCAGTGCAAATATCGAATAAATCCAAAGAAATTAATCTAGGATGTGAAATACATAAAATTGGTTAGTATTTTCAACTTCTTTGCTACAAATAGAATCTCAATTGCATTAAACTTAAGCAAACACTAACAAGAAAATAGCAGATATGTAGAAGAAATGAACTCGTAAAAGAATTCACGAAATAAGAAATCTATGTCTTACATCTATATAAAAAGATGACTTCCATCGGAATCTGATAATCATATTTATACATCACTAGAATAGATTAATTAACATTTGAAAAAAAAAATTACATTACACGCCTTGTGTCATCCATTTACGGAAATTTCATTCCTAAGTAGATATGATCGATAGAAGATCGGCTCAGTTTGATTTCATATAATGACAATCTGGGAAGATCTTAGGTAAAAATATTTTTTGGCGTAACGTTGATTGAAATATTAAAGTTAAACTTGGGACATTTTTTATGTTACTTTTTAGATCACCGTCATACTAATATTTTTTTTACTGCTTCTTTGTTGCTTTTCAAATTTTTTTTTTGTGGTGAGAAACAACTTCGTACTTACAAGTATTCATATAATAGCTTATCTATAACATCACTTGTAAAATTTCTTAAAATATAATTCCTGTAACAATCATTTCTCAAGGGCATTTGATACAGCATATGCATGAATAATAGCAAATAAATACCTACAATCAATGATTTCATGAACATATTCATCAGATTCATAATATAGTAAAATCATGTATCGTATGCAGTTATTCATCCACAATATACAAGAAATTTTAAATGCACTATTGTCAAACACGTAATCACTTGGAAACCTATAGAAAATTAATTTTCTGAAGCTAGCACAGGATTATTTCACCTGAAGTGACGGAGCAGTCCCACGACGAGTTTTCCAAAGTTCGTCTTGAGCTTGTCATCTAGTGTAAATAATCTCGAAATTGTAAACCTTTTAGGATTTCATGAAATCTTGACCCAAAAATTACTTTTTTACCTCAAATGTGCATAAATTCTTCCCAAAACCTTTCTTATTTCTTCCTTCCTTTTGTTCCCTCCTAACTTTACCTCGTACGTTTCTCTGCTACATGTGGAATTGGACCTAACTCTTGGTTAACTAACCCCACAATCATTCCTGCCTAGCTACAATAACAAGAAATGAATAGAATGCTCAAAATCATACCAAATGTCAAAACGAAAGTGTAAAAAAGGAAAGGAATGTCCCAAATATTATGGAGGGGTTTGTATTCATAGAAATATCCTCGGAGCCTTGAATTGCCTACGACTCTCTGCTGGTCATGCAGCTGCTGCGTTCACGTCTGTGGTACAGTGCCACAATCGTGGATCCTTCAGCCGAGGGAAATTAAGTGAGGGAGGGGGAAAAATGAACTTAAATGCGGCATATAAATGTGATCCCTTTTAACTCTCAGTTGTTTGATCGAATCCACCTGTTGCATGCCGAGAAAAGTGCAGAGTATGTGGCTACAATGATACTGCGGGAGATTAGAAAATAATTTAGGGAATTAGTTAAGTTAATTAAACTTATAAATTTAAAATTTTATCTTCTCATGGGTTTTAAATTCATGCATAGTACTATGTATCAAACAGAGCGATTTGAGGCTAGAATTTTATAAAAATACCTAGGCTGAATTCTATAGGGTGTGAAATTTGGGATATATCTTAATTTGAAAAATTGGGCGTTACAATTCGATGATCCAGATTTATTGTCACTTGATTATGCCTATCAGACATCGATTAGCTATTCATCTTTATATGTAAATTCATGATGACTTGAGCTTTCTAATAAATATTTTAATCATAAAAAAATATTGTAATAAATTGTATAGAATCATGACTCTCTCTTTTATCCTTTTTCATATTGCATATGGGAGCTCTTTTCTTTTTCAATTTCTTGGTCATGTTCTTACTTTTTTCTTTGTAGCATAAGGCTAATAATTTTACTATGATGGTGCATTCGGTTGAAAAATTCTCCATAGCAATTGCAAATTAGAAGCGAGCACTAGAACTTTCAAATTTGCTAGTCCTCAATATTTCTTATGAAAAGAGAACAATAGGCCAATTGCTAATATACCTTTCTCCTTCCTTTGACAAGTACAATATTTTATCAATTCAATGGAAGATAGCATACATATCCCACAAACTTCATAGACTATCTCATCAATAAAATCTCTAAAGAAAGCAAACTTAAGCCTCTAAGAGTAAATTTTTAAGTGACTTAACATACATTACTTTTTTGAAACCGAATAAGATTTTGAAAATTAATGACAAGCCCTAGTATCTTAACTGAAGTTGTAGAGATCAAATTCCTTTTACAATCCAAAATAGCATCAACAATGGTAGATTTCACCTATAGCATAACAGGGAATAATTCTTCCCCAACTTCCTCACTAGAATCTGCATGCAACATAAAGGACAATGTAGATTCTGCCTCTACCAATCCTATCTCAAATCCTCCAAAATTATAATCATTTTTCTTGTATTCTATTTCTATTTAGGCGTCTTCTATGGATATAAATTATAATATTTAAGGTTTTGCATGCCTTTTTGCAATAGAGACGTGACAATCGACTATCTCACTTCTCTTGTCCTTGTCATTGTTTTGCAATAGTGACACAATGGTCTATTGTCTCACTCCTCCCTAACTATACTTTCAATATTCTCTTTATCTGAAGTTACAAGGGTTTTAATGGAAAGTTTTGTTCCTCTCCTAGGTGTTATAACTTATATGCTAGCTTCAAATACAACAGCAATCCTTCGGGAGAGCAGTAATTATTTTTATTGCAATAAATAAAGAAAAGCATAAATTCATTTAAATTTGACACTATCTTCTCTTAAGCTTACATTAATTAGGGAGCAACCTTATCCTTAACTCCATCATTTGGAACATCCATATCCTTCCTAAGCTAACACAAAATAAAAAAAAAATATGCAAGTTTAAATTCAAAAAAAAATCAAAATGAAAAAATTTCTTCATTCAGCTACCCTTAATATCATTAAATAAAAATTTCTACCCCCAAATTTTGATCTTTAGACAGCCGGCCAAATGGCGATCTTTATTTTCTTGTCGATAGTTGTAGTTATTTTTAAAAAGTAGTTTTAGAGATATTATGAGGAAAGCTATTATAGGTATTATAGTCAGACATTGGTTTTCTTATTGATATCATACTCAATTTAATTTTGTTATAAATGATAAAGAATGGTTGGATTACCGACTTCTCGTATTCAGACTGTGACGAAATTCCGAGAACAGTTAGGATCAGACGATGACAAAACGTAGGAATACATTGGTACTAGGGGTGCTATTAATAACTGCTTTGTTGTGGTGAGCAAATCTTCATCAATAATTGATGTAACTTTCAGGTTGGGTGACGACCCATTGATATGACATGACATGGAAATTGTTGAAGTCTATACAATTATAAGTGACATTCTTATGAGTAGATTGATGACTCTTATAAATATACTTATAATCACACACGCATGGATGGTGACATGTTTATATAGGTGTTATGTTTCCCTACAGTACATGCCTTTTCTTTTATACGTTTTATACGAGTGGCATGTGTTGTGGACATATACATGAGCATATACATCAATTTGATTACCCATGCCTTTTCTTTTATACGTTTTTTTTCCATCTACAAAATTTTATTTCGCTGAGTTCATTGTTGCTACTCTACGTTATTCTTTCAGGAATGGGTAAAGAGCACCAAAGAGAGTAGTCATGCGTAACTTATGCAGCTTTTGCATTTCATAATTTTGGGTGCTTGTACAGACTTTTGAGTATGTATTTTTATTATTTTGAATTTAGCAGCTATAAATAAATATATATGTTTTGATGATATGATTTTCAACGCTTTTGAGTATTTGCACATGAATGTAATATAAAATGAAATGCATTATGTTTGTGGAGAATTAGTCAGACTAGTTCATCGCCCGTTGAGTTCTGATTTTACAAGCCAGGACAAATGCTGGTGAGAATGTAGTCTGACCGAATTTTCGTCCTTTATCTTGGGCGACCCTTAAGAATTGAGAGGGGGGTGAGGGGAGGAGATAATGTAGTTGGGGTGCGAGATTAGTGTGAAATCTAGGCCAAAATTATGCCATGCCAACTAATGCCTTTAGTAGTCACCTCTCCCTCATGATGCCAGCACATAGCCTTGGTTATTTTACCTGTAGGTTCTACTCAGATAGTGTTGCAGATTTTTGTCCAAATTCAACATGTTGTGGCTAGCTGCAACACCATTGCAACCTCCAAATGGCCTACCGGTTGGTCTCGACTCATCTACATGTTTCAACCACCTTTTGTAGGTTAGAAATCATGCCGCAACATGCTGCGGCTTTTTGTTTCTTGTTGTGGAATCAAATTGATGTATTACATTTATCGCATACTTTATTGTTTGATTAGGTGTATTTTACAAACTTTCTAAATTCCTTAAATGCATCATTTTTGTTTGCTCAGAATAATGCCCAAATATATTTAGAAAATCATTCACAATAACAAAATTATAATCTATGCCACCGAGACTAGTAATGCTACTAGGACCAAGTAAATTCGTATGCAATAACTCTAAAAAACTAGAAGTAGAAATATTGTTTTTACTCCTAAAAGAATGTTTGCTAGCTTACCTTTAACATGAGCATCACAAATATAATCAGAATGAAATTTAATTTAGATAATTCAACAAATCAAGTTTAAATTTTTTTTTGAGTATGTGCATCTTGATATGATGTGGCTTTCTATGTTATAACCAAATACCAGCAGTTATGCTTTTAAATCAAAATAAATTTCAATTGACATCATTTGAATTTTCTAAATCAATCAAATATTTTTATTGAATTATGTTTTCATCCCAACAAATAAAATGGTTTCTTTATCTTCTATTGGCATAATGAGATGTATGAAAAGTTACATCTGAAATTTTATTGTATAACAAGCTAATAGTTATCAAATTATATTTTAAGCTGTTTGCTAGAAAAAAAATTATCTAGATTATAAATTTTCTTTCTAATAGAAACAATGCCTATGATATTACCTTTAATATATCCATATATTATTAATCCTCGCTCATTTGGTTCTAATAAAGCGAATTTATTTTTTGTTTCCTATCATATGGCTTGAACATTCACTGTCTGAACACCGCATATTTTCATTTATTTTACTTAATTTGATGTTAATGTTTGGAATCCTAATATATTTACACAAACATGTTTGAGTCTACATTTTTAAATGAGAAATAAGTTATTTATAGTGTGATGTGTAGTGTTAGCACCTTTGGCATCACTATTAAATATAGATTGTAATCTACACGCTTAACAATCAAAAGAAATGTGACCTTTGCTACCCCAAAAATTGCATCAAATATTCATGTTTGTATAAGGTCTTACTTTACCTGTCTGATTTAAATGAACATAATTAAAGTATGTAAAGTGTTCATGATTTCTGGCAGATACTCAATTAGAGTAACTATTATGATGAGCTTAAGATTTTAAACACATTTAATCTAGCCTTCAAAGAGACATTTTCTCTTTTTTGATTTCTAAAAAATTAATGATTAATCTAATAATGAACTACTGTGATTTTTTAGTCGATCACAATTATCTTTAAAAGCTAAAAAATGCATGTCAAGATTTTTGTACTCTTTTTCTAATATTAAGATTTTCTTCTTAGTTTTCTATATTCAACAATTAAATTATTAAATGTAACATCTAATTTTTAAATATAATTTCCTCATATACCTCTTAAGAATTATAGCATGATTCTTCTATAGCCATGAGACGCATATTCACCTCTTCATCTGATATACTGGAGTTTGATTCTTTTTTACTTTGAATTTGCCCATAATATTTTTACTTTTTACTGTGATACTTCTTCTCCCTTCTACATTTTTTATTTTTGTTCTATTTATTTTTCTTCATAGAATCATTAATAAGATCTGAATAGTTTCCTCTCATATATTTAGTATTCTTACAGTCATAAAAAACTATTCCTTTACTTGTAGAAGATTTTTTGGTATTAAAATTGTCAACATCAGATTTGCCATACTTTTATCTTTTTTTATCCGGGTAGGTTTCCAAGTGTTTTTTTAAAGCAGTCTTTTATTACTGACTGGTTCCGAGCTTGAGGTGCTAGCCTCAATACAATCATCTGTTTGCAAAGCAGTGGTCTCACGCTCTCTTTTTATTTAGCTATCAATTTTTTTCTTCTGAGCAAGTACCATTCATGAGCCATCAAGAAACTAAGAAGTTGATTAACTGGATATGTGCGTAAATCATTTACTTCATTAATGGTTGACACCTTACATACAAATATCATTTCAGAATCTTTTAAACTAAAATTCAGTTTTTATAAATTCTTTCAAGAGATTATTTTGTATGGATGATTTTCATTAATCTAGTGTACATGTAAAAAATAAATGCAAGAGATAATATGCGAAATAATTCATATTCAACATCAATAATTAGTTTAAGATTTTAAACACATTCAATCATATTGTACAACAATCCTAATCTAAATTTGGTGAGATGGACAACCATTGTAATCTAAAGCAGATGAATGCTATATTAATCCCTTGAAAATCTTAAACTAAGTGGTGCACTGATCATATACATCATTCTGATAAAATGGCGCAACATGCGTACGTAATATCCATGTATAATCGGTAAAATGTGACTTACTGGTAGACATTGTGATTAACTTCTTCTATTTTATTTTCTCATTGAGTTACTAGCAGTTTTTTGTATTGAATTGAAGTTCTAGGGAGCTTTATCCATGTTATAAGGTTAATAAATCTTGCTCATGTATTTCCTGTGCATTGTCATATATCTATTCCTACTTAATATTTCTTGACAGTTATGTACTGAAGTTGGAGAAGGCTGATGTATATCGACTGCCTTACCTTGCAAGCAGTGGCCCTGGGTTTGGTAAAACATGCTACATCCTCTCTAGAATATTGTCGTTCTCTTCATTTGCATTGCATGATATTTGTATGTATTTTCTGATGTGTGCCCTTGCATATGAATATAACAAAAGAGGAAAATAAATTATTTTAAGGATTATATGGAGAAATAAAAGAGGAAATAAATTATGACAATATTAACGTATTTGTTTACTCCGTTGTCAAACAAAGATACAGATGACAACATATTTACCTGAAATGGCTCAACATAGCGCGACAATCACATGATTGAAAGTCCCCACCATGTTTATGTAATAATTAATATTTATTTAAGGCTAATGCATTATATCATGCAGTTGAACAAACATTCCTACCAGATAGGACATAGTTATGACATTATTTACGTCAGAACTTTTAATATGGTTATAGATGAATCGAGTTGTGCTGAGCTGAGCACATCTTTGCTTGAACTTGCCAAGTTTTAGTTTGATCTAAGTTTCAAAAGTTTATTCACATCTGTTTATTGATTTTCTTATCGTGTTCGAGCAATAATTGAACCATAGAAGTGCCTAACTAAATATCTGTAAAATGATGGAGACTTTAATTGTTTTCTTACTGATAACAATTGTGTTAATAAAATTTTGTCAAATTTGATAATAATTCACTTAGCATTATTTTTAATATTTTATGAATAAGAAAATTTAGATTTTTAATACAATTTTCTTGCTATCTGTTCATTATTGTCATTTTTAACTTAAACATAATATTTTTATTTTTAACCTATTCATCCATTATATCTTTAATATTTATTATAAAAAGTTATTAAAATTAAAATTAGATCCCTAGTCTATCTATCTAGTTATTGTTCAATAAATTTTTAGTATATTTCTATTTCTAGTAATATAATTAATTTTTGAAGTGCATATTATATAATAAATTATTCTAATAGCATCATATAAGCTCTCACTAAATGAGTGTTTATTTTATCACACACTCAAATGATTTATTTAGTTAATAAATGACTTTGTTCAAGAAGATAAATGAACAATATGCCCTTATTTGTATATTATGTTTTACAATTTTTTTGTGATGATGCTTACTTTTTTTAAAATACAAACATAAACAAGTCTTATATAAATAAATAGCATGTTGTTTAGCTCTTACTTTCTTGCTCTTTTTTTTTTTTTCTTTTTTTGATATGTTAAAATTTTTTTTAATATTGTTTTAAAACTAAAACGATGTTTGATGAGTGGAGAAAGAGTCTATTAACTCATATTTTAAAGAATAAAGGGTATGCACAAGAGTGTTCAAATGTTAAAAGAATTAAGTTAATGTGCGATACATTAAAGTTATGAGAGAGAGTAATTGAACATAGGTTATGACTTGGTACAAAAATTCTCAAAATTTGTTTGGATTTATGCCGAGCAAGTCTACTATGGAAGCGATAAATTTATTGAGAGGTTTGATGGAGAAGTATAGAGAGTGTAAGGAGTATCTACATACGATTTTTGTTGAATGAAAAAAAAAGCTTATGATAAGGTTCTTAGAGAAATACTTTGGAGAGTTCTAGAAAAGAAATGTATTGATGTTGCTTTTATTTAAGTCATTAAAGATATGTACACTAGACCTGTTACTTATTTTTGAACACAAGGAGGATTGATGATACCGGGGTTTAACCTTAACCAAATACTAATGTCAAAAAAATATTATTGCCGATTTCAAATAGGAAATTACAACAAACACAACAACACACTACACTAGACGAGTGGATCCAGGGTGGAGGGGGTGTCGGCTTGGTGGTTTGGAAGGTGGCCACAACAAGAGGGGAGGGGGATAAAACAATAAGTATGCTGCTTTAGGCAAGTGATGAGTATGAAGGGGAGTAGGTGAAGGAAAACAAAGTTTTGGGCTGCAATGCAGAGACGACAACGAGGTTGAAGGGCAGCAGTTGAAGGGAAACAACAATTAGGCGGCTATGCAGGGGTGGCAACAAGGTTGGAGGGCAACAGGTGAAGGGAAATAATAACTTGGGCGACAATAGAGTTGGAAAGATCAAGGGTGTAGGGTGTAGGGAAATGGTGCGGGAGTAGTTGGGGAAGGGTAGAGAAAGGATATCACTACCTCAGAAGTGGGATATAGCTGTAGCACCACCCGAACCCTGGGATACAACACTAAAAAGGAAAAGAGAGACATCAACGAATGTCTAGAAAGAAAACCAACAAAACTCTAACCCTAGATATCAATGTGAAAAAATAAATAGACCTAGGATAAATAAGAGTGACCCCACTACATTGGGCAGTACTCCCAAGGAACCAAGAGGGCCGACCAACCCTAAAAAAGGCTAGATCGGCATTGTTCAGGGTGCCATACAGACATCTGCACTAGTTTCTAGGGAATGGAAGAGCTTTGATCTCTTCCATCAAAACTTCTGTCGCCTCATAGTATGGAGTCAGGTCAACAACTTTGAAGGTAACGAAAATATTGTTGATAAAGTCAATCTTGTGGGTATTTCCATTCAACTTATTGAGGATCCTGAAATGGCTCTAGACTTCAGTTTCCTAAAAGATCTCATGGGAAATCTCTCTTTCTTCAATTTGTCCCACTCTAGATATCCTTCCTAAATAGTCTTATTATTCCAGGTTTTATTAGCTTGCGCTTGGTACTTGTGGTCCTGCTTGGTGATTTTTTTCCCAACCTCTTCATGTAGCTTCCGAATCTCATGCACTCTAGCCACAACATCTACACTATCCTCTGAAGTAGGAAGAAGTACCAACTTTAATAGGTTGAGTGGATTGCGCCCATACAAAATCTCAAAGGGAGTATGACTTGTAGTCTGTCTCACGAATCAACCATAAGCAAAGTTAGCTTGGTTTAGAATCAAATTCCACCGCTTGATGTTCTTTCCTATGAAGCACATCAAGAGATCCCCCAGACTCTTGCTCACCACCTATGTTTGACGATTTTTCTGTGGGTGAGGTATTAAGTTGAACCGAAGCTTAGTACCAAGCTTCTCCCATAAGTTTCTCCAGAAGTGACTTAGGAACTTGACATATCTATCAAAAGTAATGGTCCTTGGTATCCCTTGCAGTCTCACCATTTCTCTGATATACAAGTCAGTTACCCATCAGAAGATGGTACGAAATGAGCCATTTTCGAGACCCTGTCAACCATTTCCATCGTTGAATCTTTATTCTGCCGTGTTCTAGGAATACCCACAATGAAATCCAGACTAACAATAACCCATGGAACCTTTGTACTGGTAATGGTGTGTAATTCCTTGTATTCCACGTACTGGTTTTTGCCAAATGACAACCTGCTGACTTCTTGGCATAACTCGTCAGTCTAAACCAAAAAAGTTGTTCTCTCATGAGTGCAAGTTTCTTATCTCTACCAAAATGACTTGCCAATGCCCCGCTACGTGTATGATCGACTCGCGCAATGAACGTTTGGGAATACACAACTTGTTTTGATGGAAGAAATAGCCATCAGATATGTGTTGTCTTCCTTTAGGCCTCTCCCGACACTGATCCAAAATCTGCTTGAAATTCTCATATGCCTCGTACAACTCCATCATCACCTCGAATCCCATGACTCTAGCATGTATAGAGGTGATCAGTAAGTGGCGCCGACTTGAGGCTTCTGCTACTCGATTCTATCCCCATGCCTTGTGCTTGAGTACAAAATGAAATGAAGTCAAGAATGCCCTTAAACTTGCTTTGACTGACCAAGAACCTTAGAACCTCATGATATGTGAATAAAAACTCACTTGTCAACAAACAATGATTAAAAACTCTCACAATACTATATAACTCTTTATCGGATGTCGAATATTTCCTCTAAAATCATTCAACTTCTCACTGAAGAAGGCTATGAGGTGCCATCCCAACTCAATACTACTCCAATCCCCACACTAGAAGTGTCACATGCCATCTCGAATAATTGGATGAAATCTTGTAGTGCTCACACTAGGGCTTGAGTTACCTTCTTTATGATGTCAAAGTTGGACTGAGCTGCCACTGTCTACTAAAACTTCTCTTCTTCAAGAGCTCTGTCAGGGGAGCTGTAATGGTGTTGAAGAAATTATTATCGCTTTCATATTGTCTCCTCCATATTATCTCTTTCCATATTGGCTTACTCAAAAGAAATTATTAAGTGTGGACAATATATGTATCTCTTATGTGTGGGGCCAATGATAGTCCGGCGATAATTCTTAACCTAGGCTAAAGCCAATTTAATAAACCCAATTACTCATTGCGTACCAAATATGTAAGTTCTGAGATTTTAAATGGGATTTCAGTTAACATTCTTATAGAAGCGAGCTTATATCGATGATGGCCTTATGCTATGATTTTAGGGTTTTAAGGAATTTCTTTTTCTCCATTCATTTGCATTTTTCTCCAGCTAGCTGTAGCTTCTTCCTCACATTGTATTTTCTTTGGCCAGTTTTAGTTTTCTATAGTTGCAACTTAAAACAATTTAATGTTTGCAATTCCAGGGAGGCCAAAATTACTCCTCCTGAAACTAATTGCCAGTTGCAATTGTTGGCAAAAAAAAAAATGGGGGCAAAAATAAAAAAAAAAGTTATATTAATTAAAACTGAATTAATTAATTTAAAACTTTTTCTACTCCTACCTGTTAGAGCCCGCTTAAACGTGCTAACCGCTTCCACTCAGCTCAGTTACAAACAAACAAACAAAACCTCCTTCCGTCCTCATTCACACTGTCTCATTTTTTCGATTTCATTCTATCGATTTGAAACGATAGCATAGCGAAGCCTTCCTCTCTTGTGATCAAATCCTTCATCGTCTCCGGTTCAAAGCCCATGCAACGAAATCGTAAGTCCCTCGCTTGTTCTTCTTTGTTGTTTCTTTCCTTTGTTCATGCAAGAATCTTCTTCATTCGTCTTCTATCACAACAAGCTGTAGAGGCACTTCGTCCCTCTTGTTCTTCTCGTCCACTCACTTTGAAATCAACTACTTTACTATTCTTCCCTTACCCATTGTATTCCCTCTCCACTATCGCAAG